TATAAATAAATAGGTAGAATGAGTTTGCTGTTGTAGCAGCCAAGTAACTGCCCAAGGCGACAACTTTTGTATAGACTTTTCTATGTTCCTAAATTAGAATTTAGCCGCATTTGAAACCGCAAGGAGCATAGAATTTGCTGTCTTCATTTCCAATCTATTGTGTCTCTGTTTCAAGTCATGCAATCCCCTAACTTCTTCACAACGAAGTCGCTGACAAACTTTCAACGGGCTGGAAGAGATTACTTAGGATGACTTAAGTCTGCCTCAGTCATGGTTGTGAATGAGATGAAGTCAAAGTCACGACAGAGATAGTGAGGACAATTAATCAGTGCGTGACCCGTCAAAAGCGCGGACGACAAAAGCGCGATCGACAAAATCGCGCCTTTGACGTCATCACAGCGCGACGAAAAAGATCGAAAAATTCAAATAAAAATTAATAAAAATTAAATTAAAGCAAGCCGATTCACATAAAGGTAAGGGTTAGGGTTAGGGTTAGGGTTAGGTTAAGGGTTAGGGTTAGCTTTAGAGCGTTAGCGTTAGCGTTAGCGTTAGGGTTAGGTTAAGGGTTAGCGTTAGGTTTTTCGTTACTTTAACGGTTAGGTTTAGGGTTAGGTTAAGAGTTAGGTTTAGGGTTAGGTTTAGGGTTAGGTTTGGGGGGATTAGGGTAAGGTTTTCGCTTTATTTTTACATTTTTCGAACTTTTTCGTCGCGCTGTGATGACGTCACAGCGCGCTTTTGTCGAGCGCGATTTTGTCCTACGCGCTTTTGTGGTGGAACCTAATCAGTGGGATGTTTTACCTCCAATAGCTGTAGTGCTCCAATATTGGAAGTTTTAAGAAAAGATTGGGCAGCCATTTGTCGGGATGTTATAGGGGCCCTTGCTCAAGCAGGGGTTTGGACCATAAGACCTCCAAGGTCTCTTCCAACTCTATTATTCTTTAAATAATAATGCCAAGACATTTTATATATACTGTATTTTTCAGAGTATAAGATGCACCAGAGTATAAGATGCACCAAGATTTTGAAGAGGCAAATTAAAACAAAAATTTTTGCACTCTGCAGACCTCCTAAAAATGGGCCTGTTTTTGCAAAAATTGGCCTGGGTTTTTTTCCCCAAAAAAGGACATGAATAGCCTTTAGGAGGCTTGTAGGGTGCTCCTGCGCGGAGGGGTGCTCCCTCCCAAAAATGAGCACAAATGGCCCATTTTATGTAAAAAAAAACATACATAGCCTTTAGGGGGTTTATAGAGTGTTCCTGGGGCTGGGGGGGCAAAAATTGAGCAAAAAACGGCCCATTTCTGCCCTCTCCAGACCCAAGGAGTACTCTGGAAGCCTCCTGAAGGCTAAACATGGCCATTTTGATGAAGGGGCAGGGTTTCGGGAAGCCAAAATGCTGTATTTAGTGTATAAGACGCACCCAGATTTTCAGCCTCTTTTATGAGGGAAATAGGTGCATCTTATATTCTGAAAAATAAGATAATTTGGGAGCAGAATGAGTAAAAGATTCAGGATCTAAAGGCAGACTCATCTTTGAATGTGAACTCTTCAATAGCCACATCTCCTATATAAGTGTGAATTTGAGGCGAGAATTTTTCTTCAGTTAGATAATTGAAACTTGTTAGATCTTCACTTTAAAGATCTTTCAATTGCAGAAAATCAATACTTTTAAAAGCCCTGGTCCTCTTTCCCAAGGCCGGAGGAGACAACATCATCTTCTATTGTAACCTGTGTGGCTTTGTGGCATAAATTGCCTGGCAATGAGAACCTTGTTGGTCTATGAATCTTGACATCTTTCCATGTCATTTCTTTCTCCTAATTTTCAATCTCTCCTTAGTATTGATCACTATACAATTTAAGACAAACTGGAATAAGTTGGTATGTAGGAGAAGAAAAGTGTAATGATAAGCATGAAAATCCCATAACTGTACTCTTTATTTTCATACCTTCTCAGAAGAGAAGAGAAAGAAACTGAAGAGACCTGGTTGGCATGTTTAAGCAGTGTAGTGAGATGTTTCTCCTTCCCTTTCCTCCGTCTCTGCTACAGGTAGGTCCTTGGGTACTGCAGCTCAGTTGAGAGGAATTTGAGCAGAAATGAGCAGAGAGAAGAGGGCAAAAAAATGGCAATGGTAAAATCGTAAAGATTTCCTAATATGACAGTGAATTGCCTGGAGAAAATATGAGCAATGGTGTGAGATAGGTAGGTTCATGTGTTAATATGTTCACAGCTTCGTTTCTAGAAAAAGAGATTTGTGGCAGTACATCCTTCATTAGTTCTGTAGTTCCTCAGGATTAAAGAAATAAATTCTACAAAGGGTCCATGTGGCAATTAGAAAACAAATCAGAAGGCTAAACTAACTTTCTCTCTTCATAATCAAGTTCAAATAAAGTAATCGTAAATACTTGGCTTTTTATTGTTTATATTGTCCTGTGTCCTTGTTCTCTGTAAAATCAAACTGCTGGTATATCTTAAGAATCAAATTTGATCTTTTTTCTGACTCAGCTGAAAAGCCAGCTGACATATTCACATGAGAAAAAAAAACATATATTTTCCTAACTCTGTGCTGGGAGATCACTGGTTAATTGCCTGTTTAACCACGATTTATAAAGGTGTTTTGACAAATATGTGCCCACAAGCACCACAAGAAAGCAACTTGAACACTTATTATGTCAAGTGGGAAAATGAACAAACTAGAACTTTGTAAATTAGGATTTGGTGATTTAAGAATTTTTGGTCAATTCATAGACTTTCTCCATCATTTTGAAGATTACATTTTTTTTTAAAGTAGCCATTGTTTAAGTTGCATCACTTACTCCGAGTTTTGGGGATAAAGTTACTAACATAAAAATAGTTCAAAACAGCTTATAAATAATTGCATCCAACTATGGACAACTAAATAATATTTCAAAAAAGGTGGTCAATAGAGAAGTGATTGCCCAAATTTAATTAAGATCCCACATGTGAAATAACATGCTTCTCAACTATAAGAAATGTATTGTGACATTTGTTCTTTGCATTTTTATACTTTTGATTTTTCTCTGTATTTGCAATGCTATGTCTGATATGAGTGGTCCCATAACTATGTATTATTTCTGCTACGTGTTTGAAACTTCTAAGACATCCTGATATTCCTTCTTTTTCTTTATATTTAATGTGGAGAATCCAACACTTAACATGCCTACATTCTTTGGTTTAATAGAGTTTCAGTGCTGTTATCAGTAACATTTTTCTAGACTATGTGATCAATCCAGTTAACCTGCTTTTTATTATCTGATCATTATTAATTCATTTACAAAATGGTCCTATATATTTCTGTTCAAAAGTCACCGTATTTAATTAACTTGTGTTCCTTCCCAGGTAATTAGATATAATAATACAATTTCTAATTATAATCAATAGATTACTAAAGTAATGTGATTTCTTTTTTAACATAAACATTTTGGTTATTGAAGGAAGTATAAGGTAATTCTCAAATTAAGAAATAAGAGCACCATTTAAGATAAGTGAATATATAAGATAAGGGCATCTTTAATAATATCTCTATAAATCCACATTTCATTTTTAATCTCATTTTAATTCCCTCTTACAGTAGCATACCAGAACTAAAATAGCCTCATGAAAACAAACATAAACAGATGTGCCTCTAACTCTTAGTGACACTCATTAAAATTGGTCTCACTGATTAATCAGCTAAAGCTTTCTTTTTTTAACTAGCATAAAATGCCCTGAAATAGAGAGAAAGAAATCTGTAACTAGGAATTAAACTATCAAGAGCATTAATTAAACCTTCAATTGAGTATCAAGTATTAGTTGAAATTGATTTTAAAAATTACATCCCATAAAAAGCAAAAGAGAACTGTTTAAACGCATACACAGGTATTTTGTTCCCGCAGCCTACATGCTTTTTTTAAATAGCATAGTTTTTATACTATTTTTCAATTTGAGAAGTTCTGATGAGGGAAAAATTTTGAAATTCAACACATATTACTTATAAAAATAAAAAAATCTAAGCCATCTAAATCATATTCTTCTTAGAACCAAAATGTCTTTTTGTACCCCTTTTTAGTGTCCATTACACTATTGCTTGTTAAAATAAAAATAATAAATAAATAAAAGTTACACACTTTCTTGCTTTCTTAGTTATTCTGTAAATAAACAGAAATAATAGAAAATCAGCGTCAGTTACTACTTGTGGATACAAAATTATTTGGGGTCCCAGCAGACCAGTAACATTAGTTAACCTTTTATCCATTCTGCTAGGCAGCTGTTCATGCAGATGAGTCACATCAAATTTGCCTTTCGAAAACTTGGTAGCAACATTTCCAATGTAATATTGTAAATTAAGCCTGAATATATATGTTTCATGGGGAGGGGGATAGTGGAAGAATATAAATAAAGTTTCTGACCATCTATCTAGAGGTCATCAGGTTCCTGGAAAACAACTTTCCCATATAACTAAGGTTTAGGAAAAGTTTCTACAGGAAGCACAGATTCTTCCAGAATGATAAGCATCTAAACTGATGGGATCCTGCAAATGGGAAAGGAGTTCACCCTTGAAATATTTAAATGTTTATCTTAATGTTCTCTCCCCCCCCCCCTCTCCGCCCCGAAATAAGCCAGCTGGATAGTCTGATTGGTTCTCCCTCGGTTACAAAAATATGGGTAGATTAGCAGGACCGTCCTCGGGGTCCCTGCCCAGCGAGCCCTAGAGAGAAATTGCCAAGCCAACCACCTGTTTTTGCAGCCAAACGCACGCACAGACAGCTGGTGCCTGTAAGAGACTAGACTTTCCCTATCCCGGCTCCTCTTCCGTTTGGGATAAAAGTTCTCAGCAAACGTGGAAAGAGAAACGCGGGCCTTTCCCCTTCCCCCCTCCTCCTCCTTCGCGGCTGGACCCCCACTTGTCCCCTTCTCGAAGCCCCAGATCCGTTTGCCCTTCGCCCCCCGCGGCCCAGCCCCAGCCAATTGCCGGACTGCCGTGGCGTCTCCTCGCATGGCTCACCTGCCCTGCTTGGTAATGATCATTTCCGTCTGATGCTTGTGGAACTTGGCCCAGAGCGGGTAATTGTTGAGGACCACCTGGGTCTTTCCGGAGATCTGATAGCCCGGCACGGGATAGAGAGGAGCCCGTGAGAACACGTGCTGGACCGCTGTCGAGTAGCAGCCTTCTCCGGCGGGCGCGCTGGCGTACAGATCCCCGGCGCTGGGGTAGAGATCGCTAGCTGAGACCGAGAAGCCAGGATTCCCGGCGGGGACAGTTGATGCTGGGATAGGCGGGGGAGGCTGAGCTCGGTAGGAAGAGCAGTTGTTCGCTGCCGGCCCCAAAAACCTGCTCGAAGAAGCCGAGTCGGTCCCCGCAAATGCGCTTTGCACCATTGGACTTCCATAGGCCAGCCCTAAGTTGCAGCCGCCTTCCTGCAAGGGGGGATCGGGGTAGTAGAAGCGGTCCTGGGGGGCTCCCAATTTCAGCTCGCCCCCACCGCCCGTGTCTTTGGTCGTGGTTCCCTGGAGGTCCGGAGGCTCCTTGGCAAAGTTTTGGCTCTCTGCCCCGTTCAGCATGGTGAGGGCAGCGGCGGTCGGATTGGCAGGTCCTCCGGTGAGTGAATCCAAGGCGCCCATTGAAGAAAAAGACTCGCGGGACAGATTCGCGGCTCGGAGCGGCAGCAGGTGGGAAGCGGGGAGGGAGAGGAGAGCAAAACAAAAGTTTTGAGATGGAGAGGAGAGAAAGTCGAAAGCCCGGAGGAACCGCTGCAGCGCTCAGAGTTTCATCGAGACTGGAAAAGGCGCATCAGCGCTCGCCTTCTTCACACTTTTCCGGTCAATTGCAACAGCACCGAGGCCAGTTAGTCAATTGCACGGCTGCGTCTTCTTAAAATCCTGACTTGCTCCGCTATCGTTTAACGGGGTGTTTGGAGAGAGAGAGAGAGGAAACTTTCGCGACTTTGCTGCGTCAAGATCCGGTTGATAGTGGCAACGGCAGAGTCAAGATCACAGTTAGTCGCGCTGGATTTCTTCCTTAGGACTTTTCCGAAGACTCGGCGGAGCTTTTCCTGCACTAATCACTTCTTCGCTACTCCGCCAATCCATCCTCTTTGCCTCAAAAAACTGCGCTCTCGATCTGCCCCCTATTAAAAGAAAGACAAACGGCTCCTCTTCCATTGGCTGGGGAGAGTTTTTAAGTCCCGCCCCTCGGTTCTGCCTTCCCCTCCAAGGGCGAGCGGCGCTTATTACTTGAATGGATGTGATCGGGTCCCCTCACACCGCCGGTCCCCGTTTCCATCGTGAGCGGCAGAAAATTGATCAGCATCTTCCGACTAACCGGGGGGGGGGGGATGGTGCGTTTTGTTTGTTTCCACAATCCTGCTGTGCACTGCCTCTGCAGTCAAAAATACTACAATGCAAACTGAATGTGTTTATTTATTGCATTTATAGTTCACCTATAAATCAATAGAGATTTCTTAGTTTTGGCAAACTTAAGATTGTGGACTTCCAGAATTACCCAGCCAGCATGAGACTTCCATCATCTTAGATGATTTCTCTCCAATCTCCATTTCAACATCAATATCAAGGTTGACAGCTGATGACAGATTGGAAAGTCCTTGTTGTCCTTGATTGGTTTGCTGCTGAATGAGGATTTGGATCTGAATTTTCCTTGTCCCTGCCCTGCCTAATAATCACCTACACAATCCGTTCTTCCACAACAAAGAACCCAGAAAGAGCTTCACACTACACTCCTATCCAAAAGTCAGAATCCACAAACTTTCCAAGCTGCTTTGTCATTCAGTCTCAATTGTTCTAAAATGAAAACTCTCAGGTGGATAGAAAGAGACAAGATTGTATAGATAAAGGAGTGATTTTAATATCAATGCAATTTTCATAAATGAGATTCTATGGGAGGCTCTCAGCTGTATGTCCCTCTCTCACAGAATCTATCCAAACACTGTTTCTGAACAGTAACCTTAGTGGGATGGGAGGAAAAAGGATTAAAACGTGTGTTTAATAAGTACATTTTAATTTTACTTAAGCTGACATTTTATCCTCCCCAATTGTTAAAATACAGCCTTCAGAATAAGATTATTAAAGGCCAAATGGATCCTTATCCTATAACTGTTGCATACTTGTGGCATATAATCACATACATGCTTACTAGTGGTAGAATGCCCTGGGCACAAGGTTGGGGATGTGGCAATCAATCAACCTATTCTGACATGTGGTGGCTATTGCCTGTCTGCATAAAATCCAATATAAGGTATAACAAGCTGCAGACCAGCTTTCAGCCCATAGGCCTGTTCAGTCATGTTTCCTTGCCTAAAATCAAGTAATAATCAAGTAGATTGCTACCAATTATCTTTCAATTTAAAAGGAGGGGGAAAGGGTTAAAACTGATCAGGAAATCCACTTGTTATTTTCCATCACTTATGAAGAAAATCAGATCAAAGGCAACTAAAAAGACTAATTTGATAATGCTTTGATCAGCCCCATTTAAAAAAAAATCAGTCTTTTAATGTGAAGATCTTTTTTTAAAAAAAAAATCATCTCCTTTTGAGGATCTTACTTTTGCACAGTTTTTAAAATAGTCAATCTAGAAGTAGTTGAAGCAATAACTGGTGATAAGTACTTTTTAAATTAACATTGTCAGTGTCCATTACATTTTAATTTTTTTTCAACATTCACAATTACAGAAGGTGGATTCAGGTGTTTGGAGGAAGGAGATATGCAAAACAACTTATTATGGGTACATTATACCGGTATGTTACCAAAGATTTGGTTAGACATGCCTTGGTACCAAATTGCAAAACTTATTTCAGATCAAGTCAACTTACATAACTGTAAAGAATTTCAAAATACTCTTTCTTTAAGTTTGGAATATAGGTGAGAAGCCTTGCACTCAAATTCTCACAAAACAAGTCTAAATCAGATGACTTGAATTACTCAGTAATACCATAAAACTACTCTGTAAATTCTAGATTGGTCTATGACATTGCAAAACTGATTGCCAAGCTAAATTCAATTCAGTAAAATGATATTTTTTTCTTCCGTTCAATAATTCTCAGTAATAATTTCAGTATTATTAAAAAAAAAAAGTATGGGATTGAAGTCTGTATTAATAGCATTCAATTTCATCAGAAATAAATGAGATTACCTAAACAACTCTTTACTAACTTTTCTTACTGATCTCCAGGAAACCAAAGTATCTGTGTGTGTCTGTTTGTGTGCGCGTGTGTGCATCGGTGTGCACACTCAGAGGAGAGGAATGCTTACAATCTGACTTTTTGCAACCTGAAAGAAATATATAACTTTTCTCCTTTCACTCCTGCATTAATTCTGAAAAAATCCTCATTTCCAAAGAATACAGAGCTGAGTTTTATGTTTGTTTGTTTGTTCTAGAATGACCTTGCCCTTTAAAGAGCATGCTGGATCTATACTCTGATATATTATAGATATAGCCAGAATAAAAATTACATTTCATTTCCTTTTCAATTTTGAGGGGGAGGACATCCAATCAAAGGGATTGAGTGGGCTTGACCGAAAAGGAAAGGAAGAAAATGTCATTGCTGTTGTGTGTGTGAGACTCTGATAAACTGGTAATAATTTTAGGGGGGAAATGTAATATCTTGTTCATTAAAAAGACATATTTTTATAGATCACATTGGTAAACCAGGAAAGAGATTATCCTTGTTTTTAAACATTTTGAATAATAATTTCTCAGTTAGGTTTAACAATATGCCTTTCTACTCACCTGTTATAAAGAATGCCTCCCCCCATCTTTTTTCCTGTTTAAAAAGTTAATAATGTTTCTTGGAATTTCATGTGCCCAGTTTCTCTCTGAGATCAAAGCACACTGGGGGAGCATCTACATATGCACATAAATGCGCGCACATGTGCACACATACACACAGAGACCTACATATCAAACAAATTATTCAAGTGAAATATTCCCTTTTATTGCAGAAATGGATTATCTCAAGGGTTATTAAGTACCACAATTAACAAAGCTGCACCTACTGCCGGTCACATAAGGAGAACCTGGGAGTCTGCCCCAGCAGTCAAGATATTCCTGCAGTTTTGACTGCAGCAGATTTCGCAATCACCTTTTTGTTTTCATCACCAATTTGTTCTGAAGGTTAGGTCAGGAAATCCTTGCAGACATCCCACAATCACCAGCAGGAAAGTCTGTCTGGACCTATGTAAACAGAGTGATGCCCCCCCTGTGAAACTGCAAATAGAGCGGACTTGATGGGCCAGGTTGTCCCCCCAGGGAAGCTGTGTATTGTCTCATCAGACAGAGTTTAGCAGCCATCTCAGACCATTCACAGCTTCAATTGTTTGGAGTCGTTTCTTCTCCCTTTAGCTCCTGAATGCAAAATCTTCCTTTCCGGTATCCTGCAACTTCTGCTGTGCTCCATAAGAATCTTGCATCAGGAAAAGTAAGCCAAACTAATATAGGAAACAATAAAACAACTGCTTTATTCCCCAACCTTAAGGAGAAGTCAAGTACAAAGCACAAAACAAAACAAACCCCTCCCTCCAACCCAACTTCAAAGCAGAAATGAAATTTGAACCATTAAATGTGGAAATAGGTGATATTTCAGGGTGCCAGAAGTATATCTCAAAGCTACAGATACTGGTTCTTCTAACCTGACGCCTTCCATATGCATTGGATTACAACTCTCACCACTCCATAGAAATTTTTTTGTGGCTAGAGATAAAAGGTACTCTCACCACTCCATAGAAATTTTTTTGTGGCTAGAGATAAAAGGTACTATAGTCCAATGCCTCTCAAAGACACCATATTTTATTTTATCTGGCTGGCATTTTCTATCAAAACAAAGGTTGCAGTATTGTAAAATGAAATCCAAACCTATTTAAATATAATAAGATGAATGTGTGTATGTGCATACATGCATGCGTATAGACACATATGCACATACATACACGTGTGCACACCCACACATTACCCTTATAAATGGTTGAGGAAAGAATGTAGCCAATTACCTCCATGAAGAAGTGGGTTTTATTTATAATGTAGCAGAATCCCAGAGTTTAGAATGTAATACAATTGTGCTTTATTGGATAGATAATGAATGCATATTATTTTATTATATAAGTCCATAAGCAATTATTTTGGAAATTGCATTTCGAATTACTGATCATGTTCCTAAATAAAAGGATTTTTTTAAAAAAAAAAACTACAATCTGAGTTCAGTCACAAATTATTGGTTCCCCCCCCCCCCCAAACATAATTAATGTCAGGCAATAAAAACAGTGAATAGTTGAATACAGTGTTGTTGTCCCAATTCTAGGAATCTACTTTGAAGGACATGAAGCAGAAAAAGTTCACTTTGCACCCAGGTGCAAAGTAAAGGACTTAAAATTGTTCACAAAAGCATTTTAAAATAGTAAATTAAATTTATAGTTGCTTGCTTGATCTTGCGTGCGTATTTTACTTTTTTATATTGAAAAATGTCATTCATGTTTATGATCAGCCAGAAGCAATTACGGTAATTGCCTATACACATTAAAAAAAACTGTGTGAATTGGGCTTAAAGATCATCTAGTCCATTACCTGCTCAGTAGAGGAATCTGCTTGGCCATCCCCAAAGTCTTTCAGTTGGTTCCCAACAATGGTGAGCTCATCCCCAGATCTAGGCAAAATTGTCTATTGCCAGTTCTTACCTTCAGGAGATTCCTCCCCAGAGTAACTCTTGGCTCTCCTTCTTCCCATCCTTTGCTTCCTGTCCTATCTTCAGCTTTACCATCGAGTGGGCCCATACGTTTTCTTCTTTGTGGCATTGTTTTATATAGATCAATCTTGTGTCAGTCTTCTCTTTTGTTTAACTGTTAGCTTGTTTAACTGTTCTTTACTAGGACTTAATTTCCACACTCTTTATCTCCCTTGTAGTTAT